GGGGGCGGTGCGGATTGGTACTCCTGTTATTTTACCACCACACCTCCTTTGGGGTTTCGCAGTTTTGTGGAAGAAATTTGTGTTTTATTGCGTAATTTTGGGGTTCCGGGGGGGGGGGGGGTGGTTTCTGACCCTCCTCCCCCACCCAACCAAGAGCTCCACTTGGTTTTAATGCTCCCTTATAAATACCGATTGTTTAATTACTTCAATTACTCGAAAAAGCTACAACGATTTATGCAAGATACATATGAAACCACTTGTTTTCTGTCGTTCAGTATCTTGCTAAATATAACATGTTGCAAATCTATTTGATCGTTTCGTAAACGTCAACGCAACATAGGTCGTGCATAACTCACTAGACAGAATCCATTTAGTGATTCAAGAATATCAAGATGTATTTGTTCGGACAGTTCAATTATTTCCCTGTCGTTGCTTATCTGAGTTTCAAGTTCAGGGCAGGTGTAGCGCGCAGTAGCCGCATAAACGACCGTCAGTTTCCTTTCTCTATACAGTAGGAATGAAGAGAGGGATCTTCTTGTCGTCTTATCAAGAAGTGGCCCCTTACTACTTCAGCTCCTGGTGGAAAGCACATGCCCCAGTCATCCTTAACCCTTTTTCGGAGATGCTCTGGGCCATTTCCAGTCATTTTAAGTAAGTAATATTCTTCCCCAGGATCAGGATTGACTTTCTCCACAAAGAAAAAAATTCGCCTTTTAAGTTGCACGTATTCGGACTGGTAGCGTGAAGGAGACGGAGTCTTAAGGTTATTTTGAGCAAAATTATAAAGGTCTTCCGCCTTTTGCATAACTCCCTGCCCCTTAATAACTGCCATGTCTGCCTTATGTCTTAAATTAGCCCCTGCGCCATCTTGCGGACCTTTAGCGTGTGACGTTTCAAAGTAATTGCGAATCGTTCTGTAGCCAAAGTCTGAGTTGGAAAAGGAAATATCCACCATACAGTGACGACTCTTGTACTGGGCAGAACAGCCATCAGTCCACTCGTCCATCACTTCAACATCGTACTTTATATCTTCTAGATATTCTGCCACCAGTTTTCGTACCTGATGGACTGAGTGGTGGTCATGTTTTGTGTCTGGGGAAATAACAAAATGTGTTCTGTAACGATGACTGGCTCCTCTAAGGTGCTGTCAAAAACATCAACATCTTTAATCGCGTGCCTCTGTAAAACAGTTACATGTATGGATGCCTGCGTTTGGGAATAATATTGGCTCTGCAACTAGTTCTGACTTGTGCAGCTATAGTTCTCTGAGTAGTCATGGATACAACATACGTGCTCAGGGGGTAGATGTTCTATCAGATCTTTCATCTGTTTGCTTTGCCAACTTGCACGAAACTGGTGGGGAGAAAAATCACGCAGTAAAGATTTTAAGTTATCAAACATGACACCCGGAGTTGTTTTTTTCTTCACCAGCTAAAGCTTCTTCTTTTCTTGTCCATCCTGTGTTTGGCCCAATGGTACGTATTCAAATTTCTGCCAGGTTACTAAGGGAGCGTTATGGCTGACATCTTTCTCTTCATTCAGGAGCTCCAGTTTGTTTACGCCACATCTATTACATTCTCTGTTAACGCACTCTTTGCGATGATAGCTATGGCTTTCCGCCTTAGGGCACATCGTTTTGTTCGCCATATCATTCAAGTGTTCAAAAACTGGACAATTTTCGTCTTGACCATTCTTAGCAATGACACTTCTACGAAATTTTATACAAGATTGAAATACCATCCGTGTCTCAACATGAAGCCGACAACAGCAAGTAATTTTGTCTTGGCTCCTTGGGGCCACTACGAAAAATAGTTTGCATGTTTCAAAACTTCTCTGACCCATCTTAACTTCTGGATGCTTGGCTTTAAATTCTAGGTACGCTTCAGTCTGTTTTTTCCAACACTTGGTTTGCATGACAGGTGTAGGTTCTAACAGCCACTCTTTTGCGAATTATGTCTTTCTTATTACCAGTGGGCCTGGAAATACCAGGACTCGACCAGAAATCGTACGCGAGCTTGCGGTGTTCAGAGGGGATGGAAACGGATCGTGTCTGTCTTTCAGTGAAGAGCCAGCAGGACTTGTCGCTTCTGAGTGTCTTGACACGATGTTTATAGGCGTTACTCAAGCGTTTCCTACTTATGCTTAATCTTTGTGAGACCTTACTTTTAACTTTTCCACTATTTACTTTTTCTCCTGAAAGAAATGAAAGACTGACGTGCGTGGCAGCACGGTCATCGTTTGATCTTTTTCTTTTTGTTGCCTGAAGTGCTGTTTCAGCATCCTCCAAAACTGCAGATGCCATTCTTTCCTCCTCTTGGTTTTCTGGCGACTTCAGATATCCCAGTCGCTGGAGAACATGCTGTGTTGTGGGACTTTAAACAAGAGAAGCAATGACAGCAACTTTTTTCTTGGACTACTTGGAAGATTTGCTCTCGTACTGTCGACAGCTCGTTTTCGAGAGGTTCTGTTAGGAAATGCTCCTCGGACAGCATTAGGTGAAACGGGAACATTTGTAGGTGCTGTTGTTTCTTTTTCTGCCTTCTTTCTCGCTCTCTGTTTTGCTTTATAAAGCCGCCAGTTTGGTTTGGGTCCTTTACTTTCACGCTCTTGTTCTACAATAATGCGAGGACGCTTCTTTCTTCGTTCCTCTTTTCTATCTTCAAGTATTTTATCTTTGTTCTTCACGTAAAACCTTGCATTATATTCTCGTTTCTTTTGTTTCTTCCTCTCGCGTGATTCACGCAATCGCTCAGCTCCAGTTTTTCCCATGTCAGTATCGATAAATGTTTAAAAGCTTTCTTGAGCAGGCCCTTTATTTACATGCCAACAGTGCACCAGTGCACTGCACCGGTGCACTACCACGTAGCAAAGCCTTAATTTACCTAAGTCTTATTTTTATGCGTACCTTTTTCTCACCCTAGTCGCGCAATGACCTAGTTTCAGGGTTGCTCTGATTTAAAGAACAATTTTAAATAATGTTTGAAAGCAAACTCTTAACATGCGTTTACTGTGGTGAAAACCTTTACGTACGAATAAACACCGGTGCACTGGTGTTGTAGTGCACTTGACAAGATGGCCTCCTTGGACTTGTCATTAAGAAACTGAATCACGTTGCCTTTACCAACTAAAAGGAGGCTGCTGATGACTATTGAAGAAGGAAAGCAGAATTTACATAGTTTTCATCTTAGAGCAATCTCTCAGCTCTATTTTATACCAAGCAACGCGCTGCAGAAAAAGATTTTTTGATTAACATGACATCGGCGCTTGCTGTTTTGGACGCCGATAAGAAATCAGAAACGCGCGAATAATGACCTTGAACTGTATAGTACTCGCAGAAAGAAGGTAGGAGGCAGAAGCCCTTTTATTGTTCTTTTTTAAATGTTGGAAAAAAAAAATGGCTAGATTAGTAATATAGGTGCTCAATGCACCGCTAGTTAAAACTAGATAACTATAATTGTTACGCACAAAAGATGGATAATGGATGTTTTCAGTCCGTTTATTTCTTAAATTTTGCTTTAAATTCGCTTTACTACTGACACCTCTTTAATGGGAAAGGCATCACAATGAAACCACTTAAATACTTTAATTCGACCTGTGCTTTTCTAGTAGCAGTAAAATTGAATTTTTGTGTGTGAAATCAGTAGAGTCTACACTGTAATTGGACACCATACACATAGCCCTTCAGTCTTCTTGTTTTTTGAAAAAATTAATGATGATAACTTCATTTTCTCACACTGCAGCAATTGCAAGAAATAATTTTTTTATTGTTTTGGAACAGTGATGAATTTTAGTGACTTCGACTTTCTGAGACACGGTGATAAAACTTAAAAAAAGATTGTTTAACTTTTAAAAAGTTCATTCCTTTTCCTCATTTCAACATGTGACTAAGTCTGCCACAGTGTGATGTCCCATACATATTATTTACAACAAACCTAGGATAGCCTGCATGGAAGGCGCAAAAAGGGGAGGGGAAGGGCGAAGGGGAAAAAGCGCGGTAGGTTACATTAACAGAACAGTCACCAGCCTGATACGCGAATAATGAAAGGAGAAATCGGCNCCTAGGATAGCCTGCATGGAAGGCGCAAAAAGGGGAGGGGAAGGGCGAAGGGGAAAAAGCGCGGTAGGTTACATTAACAGAACAGTCACCAGCCTGATACGCGAATAATGAAAGGAGAAATCGGCATTACAGATGTCTGACAAGAATCACCGCTTGGTTTTTGGACAGCTCCAGTATACAAAGCGTCCTGAACATCTTTTCCTGCTAAACAATCTGTTACAGTTGGTTCTAGTTCGGGTTTCAACGCTAAGTTGCTACAAGATTTTGATCTTCCAAAGCTTATGCCAGTAGAACACATTTCCTTGATGCCTGCATGCATCACGGTTATCCCTTACTAATACGTGACAACAAGTTACTCATCACAGCTCAGCCAATCAGGAATTGCGGACGCCAGCGCCCGCAGAAATGAACAAAGGGGGGTTCTTACAGCAGGCGTCCCTTACCCTCTCTCCCCAATCCCCTCCCCTTTTCCCTTCCTCCCAATCCCCTACCCCTCTCAACGCCCACTACGTAACCACTACGTAGGCTAACCAGAGATAGTTTTTTTTTAATATTTTCTTTGTTGAAACTTACTGTAAAACTCTTGGAAATGCATGTCAGAATGCATGTCAGTGCTCCTGATTTTAAACTGATGAGTGAATGGTTTTTAATAGGCATCATCATGAAAATCCCGTCTGAGAAACTCACTTTTATGGATAGCAGAAAAGAACCTACACGTATTGTCTCTGTGAGGTAGTGGACAGGGAATGCTAATGATTTGTTTTGAGAATAAAAAGGGTTGGGCTTCGTGGAGAAAAGAACATATCATTTATCTTCCTTCAAATTACTTCATTTGTGAACTGGTTACCTGTACATGTACTTACAGGCTGACATGCCTCAACGATTCATCAGGGAAAAATTCAGGATAATGTGATAATAATCTTTTGTTGTAGGCTCAAAAGTGTAATGGATGTCAAGGTGATAATGATGATGATGGCGATGACACAGAAGCCATTAAACAGGGTTGGTCATCTGAAGATAAACTGTTGGTTCCACCTTGTGTAGGATTAGTCAAAGTAAGTGATTCAGTTGATTTCAAAGTAGACCCTCATTAATTGATTGTGGAACCCGCCGTATGACTGCCCGACATCTCGTACAAAGCTATACTGGCTGAACCTCAGGTTAATTCACGCTTAGGCACGTACACCTAATTGTCATAACGTTGTCCTAGAAAAATGAAAAAAGGAAAAAGCCAAAAAGAAATTAATTGGACTAATTAAGCCACATTCTTAGGGTGGATTCATTTGCGCCCGTTGCATTTCCTCGCTAGAATTTTTTTAAATTGTTTTTCAGCTTTAAAACGACTGGTCAATCGAACAATGCCTTCTCTATATTAGGGTTTTCTGTGGTGGGAAAACGAAGGGTCCATGTTCTGATCTCTTCATCCATTGGCTAGCAAAACAAACAACGAACACTTACCGAAACCATTTCTCAAGGTCATAAGAAAATCGCTGTACCTCCTTCATTACCCTAAAGGAGCATTTCGCATATGGATAGAGGTACTAATTAATGATTTTGGTACGAAATTGACCTAAAGCAGGAGTATCCTCACGATAAGGCTCTTAACACCTAAATAACAGGACTAAGTGGCTTCATGGCTGTGTAGTTAGGTGAGGAGCTTCGGGTGAAATGAATATCGGGTGACTTGAGTTCGTCTATACCATATCTCTCTTGCTGTTATATCTGGCCGATTTGAGTAATTTCCTCTTTCACTTAGTCTCCAATCTGCGAGCAACAAAGGAGACGTTGTCAACACAATCAACACAACAACAGATAAACTTTGCGTCCCGATCTGTTACCTTCTCATAATTCTTACTCGTTAATATGTAGCAATCCGAATTCGGCTTTATAGTATGACTCAAAAATAACGTGTACGTCCCCCGCACCCATTCCCCTTTTTCCCGTACCTTAGGGTTGATTTCCACTGTCGCGTAATTTTTCCGTGCGTACACACGTAAATCTTCCGCACGTAAATAAAATAGAGACAATGTATGGAAGGTCACGCGTATTCGTAAAGTTAAACCCCGCTCAACTTTTAGGTTTATGCGTAGCCTTTCATACATTGCCTCCATTTTATTTGCGCACGTAAATTTTACGTGCGTTCGCACGGAAGAATTTCGCGACAGTGGAAATCAACCCTTAGGCCGGACGACCAGTGACCTGCTCTTAAGCTGCAATGCGATATCTTTCCCTAGGCCTGTCGATCGTGCGTGAAGAAGATCTCTGGAGCAATTAAAACTTCGGGTCAAGTAACTTCAGTAGAGAATATTCAACAATTGGACGAAATGGCAGACGAGGTCTTAAGGACCAGTCCAAGGTAAAAATATTTGGCTTATTATAACAATAGGCCTTTGCAGCTTTCCGTTCACGTGATACAAAACCGCCATGTTGGGACCCAAAAGTCGCACTGGGACAAGACAAGCAAAGGAAATTACCATTTAAAATTATGTATGCCTTTTATTGGTCTTGCCCCAGTGCGACTTTTGCATCCCAACATGGTGGTTTTTTGCCACGTGAATGGAAAGCTGCAAAGGGCCTATCACGGGCAGTTCAACCAATAGGAACATCATCCATGATTGTCGTCATGTTAGCGCGGGAAAAGCGCGGGAGATAGACCCTTCCAAAGACCAGTTAGCGAATTTCAATTGACACTGCTGGAAAGAGCGCCTTAAAATCAGGAAATTTACGGAGATATTGCTCCAAAACCTTGTGAAATCTTACAGACCTTTTAATGGTTGTGAGACGAACTTTCCTCCCCCCACCTATATACAAACGTCTGTAAAATACCTCGAATTTGCGGAGCTGTATCTTTGTTGGCTGACTACACATGAGAAATTTCGTTGAAAATTGATTGACATGTTTACTAATTTTAAGGCGTTCTTTTTAGCCGTGTTGACGGATTTCGCTAACTGATCCCAGTCATAAGTTTTTAACAAACCTTGGAAGGGTCTGTTTTTCACTGACTGAACTAGAATACATTATACAGTCGCTGTGCAATCATCTATTAGGTGTACTGTACGCTACGCATGGTTTTGTACCGTGTTAAGAGTACTTCACTAAGGCGTCAGAGCTTGCACAGAAGGCGTTATTTAGCCTGGCGTGAAACGTTATCACGGTTTAGCGCAAACGAAAAAGACAAGCTGGATTAGGATACTAAGAAACGTAGGGCGTGACAGGTACAGCTGAGGCATGAGTACGCGCTTGGTTTTATTGAAGAGGACTGAAAATTAAACGCGCATGGAAGAAGCCAAGAAGCGGGAAGAGAAAAAAGACAGCCAGGATTCTTAGAACGTAGTGTAGCAGGGCGCGAACGGTCGGAGCGAGAACAGAGAGAGGAAAAATAAGATGTCTTTTTTTAAAGGGAAGGAGAGGGAGGGGGAAAAGGAAAGGAAACTAGGTTCCTTTGCCCTCCCCCTCTTCGTTTGTATTGCTAGCGTCCCATATTCTGTACTTTCGACGGCTCTGACGTTTTACTACCACCACCGTTTTACTACTACCGTTTCTTACTGTCGCTAACGTTTGTTTCTTTTTCCGTTGCAGTGTCGATGATGTTGTTATGAGTCTTTATTATCCAATGAATCGTCAGAATGTCAAGGAATGTGTAAGTTAAGTTTGCATTATGTGTATAATCCGTGTGATGGAAAGTTAACTGAATATGATTCTCAAGCTAAAAATGTTGTTTTTCGCATTTTTTCTTCAATACAGCCATCAAAGCTAGCTGATCAGCTGAAAGATTTGCTTACCAGGGCAAGGTATAAAACCCTTGACATGAAACGTTTCATCAAATTTCATAGAAGTTAAACTAGCAAGCATCTCAAAAAGGGCCGTGGTTAAGTATGTTATACTCCCAAACCAAAGTGATAATTAATCTCATGGTTGCAAGAGCATGTAGTTTGTTGACTTATCAAAACCGATTCAAGTTTAATGCATGTAACAGGTTTTTGACGCGAGAAGTCGCGCACGGGCGTGATCAGATTGTTCTATATTCCCATTGGTAGATGATGGTTTTCATTTGAGCGTTGGGAGTATTCCAGACGTAGTTGCATTGATTTTTTATTGCGACGTTTATGTGACATAGCTGAAAAAAATCCAGCGCTGCATTGTGGACCAATCAGTAAAAAGGTCAAAAGCAGCGCTGACCTGCTCACGCACTATTTTCCCGCGCTTACAAGCCATACACCTCTGGCTTGAGTTCTAATTGTTGATCGGATTGTCTACCCACTTCTGATTGGTCAGAATTATTACTTTGGTTTTTGGTTTTACGACACTCAACTAAAAACGTTTTAAATTTTAATTGTCATGCTCTCCTTTTTTTTCTTCAGGAATTCTCATTTCACCGTGGACTCAGATTCTTCTTGGCTTGACTTTTTGAACAAAGCAATCGACCACAATCTAAACAAAATAACAGGTTTTCTTCAAGAACAAGAAGGATCAGATACGTGATTTATTAAGTCAATAACTAGTAAATCAATTCTGCTGAACTGAATTAGGAGTCGTCATTCTGCCGAGTAAAACTAATGATGATCAAAACCCTAGAATAATACCACTCTCGTCGTTTTATCATAAGGCGAGAAAAGATCGGATGAGTGAAGAAAAGTGCACGTCACTACATGTGAAAATTCCTCCTTTAGTCTTCCTGTTTTTCAAGGAACGCCGATGCCAATTTTATAAATGATACGAATGAAGGTAGCTGTTTAAAATCATTGAGCAAATTTAGCTGCTCTTGACAAATTGGTGGAAAGCGTGCAGAAGTCTGCACTAGGAATAATTTTTCCA